TCGCTGGAGCATTGAAGCCTATAAACAGTTAAAGTAAAAACGCATCATTCTTAAGACACTTGGTCTCGCCGCAAAGCTAGTAATACTTGGAAATAGAAGGAGACATTAACGCAGTGTAATACACAGTACACCTCTCGAATATCCCCATCTACATGAAAAAGGCACAGCACGACTAACTTGCCTCGGAAGTAATTTTGCTCATTGGGCTAGCTCAAAGTAAGTTTTGCTGAACTATGTATCAAACAGTACATGAACCGGATAAGTACGTGGATGAAAAAGGCTAGCAGAATAGACTGCGAAAAAATTTCAAAAATTATGTGGTTAAAGTGGCAAGATTTGTTTTTACTACTGAGAGGAGGAAAAAATGGATCTTTGTCTTTTCATCCTCGCATGGTCCCGCTTATGCAGGGTCTGCTTTTCTTGTCAGGTAACTCCATGCTGTACTACTTGAGGCAAGTTTCATCTATGCCAAGTTCTCGCAGGTCAGCCTTGATTCTGTTCATCCACCTCATCTTGGGTCTACACATGGGTCTTTTACGTGCCTCCACTGCCAAGGTTAGCCACGTGATGTGACTTTCATCCCTTCTGCGCACATGGCCGTACCATCGCAATTTCTTTTCTGCATTTTCCGAGCAATTGGAGCTACTTTCATTTGAGCTCGTACAATATCATTACAGATGTGGTCTTTCAGTGCGACACCTGAGGTCCATCGTAGCATCGTTTTTATGACACTGAGTTTGCCCTCCTCATTGCTCGTACATGGCCGCACTCACTACCATAGAGTGCTGCTGGACGGATAACGGTCCGGTACATTTGGGACTTGAGCTGCACTAGCACAAAACTCCCGTTAAGGCTCCCCATTTCATCCACGCTATGCCCCCTGCCTGCTACCTCTTCTTCAAGCCTCTTTTCGCTGAGACGTGACTGTCTATGTACTTGATTAAGGTTGTCTTCTTCAGCTCTTCACCTTACATATGGTACCAAGAATTTGTTTTCCCACCTCCATAGATTCTGTTTTTCTGGTGTTGAGCTTCAAGTCATACAACTCTAGCCTATTTTTCCAGTTTTGTACCTCGTC